GGTCCCAACCACCTGGAGTAAAGGAGGATGAAGAACATCAAGGACACAAGGAAACTATTAGCCCAAGAGACAGAAAGGGCCACATAAACCAGAGACTGCATCAGCCTGAGACCAGAAGAACTAGATGGTGCCCAGCTACCACCAATGACTGCACTGACAGGGAACACAACAGAGAGTCTCTGACAGAGCAGGAGAAAGGTGGGGTGCAGAACTCAAGTTCTAGTAAAAAGACCAGACTTAATGGTCTGACTGAGAGTGGAGGAACCCTGGAGAGCATGGCCCCTGGATTCTCTGTCAGCTGAGAACTAAAACAGTTTCCGAGGCCAGCTCTTCAGACAGGGATTGGACTGCGGGACATAAACTGATACTCATGAGGAGTGTACCTCTTAGCTCAAGTAGATACAAGAGACTAAATGAACAGCTTCTGTCCTGAGGTGAGATGGGAAGGCAGGGAGGTTTCGCAGCTGGTTGAATGGACGTGGGGAATCAAGCGTGGAAAGGAGGAGTGTGCTGTCACAGTATGGGGAGAGCAATTAGGGTCACATAACAATGTATGTATAAATTTTTGTATGGGAGACTAAATTGAAATGTAAACTTCATTAAACTACAACTTTAAAAATAAAATAAAATAACCAAACCCATTGTCGTTGAGTTGATTCTGACTCATAGTGACTTTTAATCAATACTATTAAATTATCCCCCAGGAATATTATTCCTACCAGAAGATTACATGAAATGCCCAGTTGTTTACAACTGCCTAAAATCAGTATTACTTTTTTGTGTTTTTAGTCTTTACCAGTCTAACTGACAAAAAAGTGTATCTGTTTTACCTCTGTATCTTAACACATCTCATTCTTCTGTGTAATATCTTGTTTGGCTTGGTCTTTTATGAGAAGCAATTATTATAGTAACTTTTCTCTAGTCAGTGTTCCCAGTGATATCTTTTGAAATCCCAGGGTGATACAAATGGTTAAAGCACTCGACTGCTAACCAAAAGGTTGAAAGTTTGAGTCTGCCCAGAGGCACCTCAGAAGAAACACCTGGCAATGTACTTTCAAAAAATCAGCCATTGAAAACCCTGTGGGGCACAGTTCTACTCTGACACCCACAGGGTTGCCCTGAGTCAAAAAGAGACTTGATAGCAACTGGTTTACTGGTTTATACATCTTTTAAATCTCATTCGTTCAATTAACAAATAATGAATGAATAGCTACTATTTACAAGACATTGTGCTAGACACTGGAAAGAAGTTGGAAGGGTGAGAGTAGAAGTCCATTCCAAACTGAGGTACATCCATAAAATGGATACTACCCAGCCGTAAAAAAGAATGAACTATCGATACCTGCAAAAACTTAGATGAATCTCAAAGGTATTATGCTGAGTGAAAGGAGCCAACCACAAAAGATTACAGGCTTCTTGCTATGCATAGCTACTTGCTCTGCAGAGAACTTGTACCAGTTATGTCATCTATATGCATGGGAAAAAAGACTGGAAGAAATTTTCTTAAGGTTGTGAAACTGGGGGATTTTTTTTCTTTGTTATACTTTTATTTTTTCAAACTTCCTATGATAAAGAGGTATTTTTTATAATCAGAAAAAGAGAATGTTAATACACAAAAAGATTTTATTCTTTTAATCAGAACTTGCATTTTAATGGAAAACTTTAGAGAGTCAAAATAATGAATCTTTGTGACATCAAGAGAGCTAGTAAGTAACAGCCTCAGTGGTGACCTTCAGGAAGCTTAATCAGGCAACACTGTACAGGTTGGGTAGGTGGGAAAAGCCATCATGGAGCAATTAGTAGTCTAACTGGGAGGCAAAATGAGGTCCCAAACCAAGGCGGGACCAGTGGACAAGGAATTTTACTGAAATTCCTCTCTAGTTCATTCATGTCTTATAATAAAAGACTGGTATTGGATTGACTGGAATGTCAAATGTTAAAAACATCCCAAGAAGTTTTTCAAAAGCTCTCTACAATTATGGAATGAGATTATGTTGTATAATTGTGTTTTTATCATTTTCCTACAAATTCAGGGTGAATTTGAGAAGCTGACATTCCTAAGATCTTTGTCTTCTCTCAGCCGAACTTTACCTTATGATGAAACCACAGAATCATTTATTCAAAGCCACATAACAGACATTGTGCACATCCTAAATGTAAGTATTGTGACCTTATTACAAATTTTCAGGACCACACAAGTTCAGTGCATTGGCCAATAAGTTTTTTAGCGGCTGCGCCTATGTTGTCAATTCCCTTAGCCTCTTCTTATATCAGTATCTCTGTATGGAGGAGGAATACTCAGAGGTACCCCACAAATATAGTCACCCTAGAAAACCAATTAAAAGAGTAGAAAGGAGAGGAGCAGCAATACCAAATGTCGAGTGGGATTTTGAGCAACTAAAACTCTCATACACTGCTGGTGGGAATGTAAAATGGCACAACCACTTTGGAAGATAGTTTGGCAATTACTTTAAAAGTTAGACATACAATTGCCATATGACCCAGCAGTTCCACTCCTAGATGAAATGAAAGCGTATGTCGAGGCAAAGACTTGAACACTCAGCTCTATTTGTAGTAGTCAAATACTGTGAAGAACCCAAATGTCCATCAATAGATGAATACATTGTGGTATATCTATATAAGGGAATACTACTCAACAATAAAAAGGAATGAAGTATTGATACGTACTACAGCTTGGATGAATCTCAAAATAATTATGCTGAGTGAAAGAAGCCAGACAAACAAAAGGATATACAAGTTCTGGCAAAACGGCGCTCTAGGCAGAAGCACCACGCTGTCCCTCCACAGCAAAGATCCGAAAAACTAAGCTGAACAGAGAATACAACAATCCTGAAACCCTAAAACATCAAATGAAGAGATAAAGAACTCAGCCAAGCACCAAATGGAGTGAGAAAACT